AGTAATATCAGAAGAACAGCTGTGTAGAAGCCCGAGAATGAAGCTCAGGGACATTTTCAGGGTAAAACATATTCAAGATGCAACCAAAATCACATCTGTGATGGCTGACACTCAATAAAAGATTGCTCGGCATGAAAAGAAACAGAGACATACTAATGTACAATGACAGTAAAAATCAATGAATGGAGATAGATAAAATGTATCACCTGTAATGGAGGTCATGGGTTAGGGCAATAAAATCAGTTATGCAAACAGCCGTGGATTTGCTTCCAAAGATAAAGAACAGCATGGGCAAGCTGGAGAGGGACAAGGACTGATTTCTAAAACCAAATTAACTGAACAAACAGGAAAAAAAAGACAGCCGGTGTGGAAAATCTCCTAGATATAATTTTAAAGGATTGGACTCTGTAGAAAAAGTATCCTTAAATCTAAAGATAAGGCAAGCGGATCAGTCAAAATTTTGAAAAAAAAAACTTAAAAATTGAAGAAATAATAAACAGAACACTAGAGATCTCTGAACAACACTGACTACTTAGAGTGACGTGTCCCTAAATGGGAGCACAGACAGGCAGCGAAGATGTTTGGACAACATATGTAAGCAGCATTTCTAGGCATACAATTTGAAAAGAGACAAAAAGCCACCTCTTTAAATTAGAACAGCATAGAAATCATCCTTAAGAAACAAGCCACACATAAAGCCATGCCACTGTGAAGTTACTTAGAAGCAGTTATAAGGAGACTACCCTGAGATCAGACAGGTGGAGGAGGACAGGGCCAGGATGGATGCTCCGGAACCTATTGGAAACAAAGACTTCCTAGCTATAGTTGTGACCTACAGAATACTTCCTGTGACAAAGGGAAATAGAAGGTTCTCACAGGAAACTGGAATGAACAATAAATGTACCACCTCCATCATAAGCACCTAACTCCTATGGCTGGAATCATGCAAGAGGCTAACAGATGCCTGACCTGAAGAGTAAGGTCCCTTGGGATCCGTCCTGTGTCTGATAAAACGCCCATGTGACTGACTGTTCCTCTTTGTGCTTAGCCTTGGCATCTTCTGTCAAATGTCATCTCTAGCCTCTCTCCCCAAGGTAACCTGGGATTTATATCAGGGAACAAGAGGGGCTTCTATTCCATGTCCTTACACAGGAGGGGCGAGAGATGAGGGTGGTCTCTGCGGCAGTAGCTCCTCCGGACCCCCTTCCCAGGAAGGTTGCTTTCCAGAATGAATGCACACATCTGGTGATTTCAGGTTTCCCAGCTCAGATTCTGATGCATGTTAACCCCGCTGTTGTGTGATGATACAGGGACTGCTGTAACTGGGAGCGCGTTCTGTTGATGAAGTCAGAACACTTTGTGTGATGATACAGGGACTGCTGTAGCTGGGAGCGCGTTCTGTTGATGAAGTCAGATCACTGACAGGGAGAGGTAAAGCTGCTCTTTTGAACTGACACCTTGCTATTTTTAGATGGTGTCTCAACCAATATTAAATGCCTTCCCTTTCTTAATGCAATTTCAATGCAATACTTATGGGTCCAGGGGTGTGAGACGTGCGTTTACTAGAAGTGACAGATCATTAATCCATGACTCTCTCCAGGCATGACCTGGTTATGGATCTGTTGACAGTTATTTCTTAGGATGTCTGGTTCCTCGTTTGCTCACACCTAATAAACTGTACAGTAACAAACCACCTGGGCCAGCTTTAGCCAGGAATAGAATCTATGATCAGCTATAAATGACACATTTTCATGCAGAACTTTGTAAATTAGTCCTCTGGGTGTAACCTCCTTTGTGAATAATGCTTACTTAATGTTAGTCTTGTACTTGGGTTTTGAAAAGATTGTGGTGATTTCTGTCTTACAAGGGGCTGGAAGACGTGGGTCACACAATTCTTAGTGGCAGGGACGTGCAGGTTACACCATCCATGGTGTCAAGGACACACTATTAATGTGGCTCACAGCAATGGGGACATGCGAGCCATGCCTTTGTACCCACTGAGGGCAGACAATCCCACATGGTATCTAAGCAGGCACACACTGTAATGTCACTAATAAAACATTCTAAGAAAAGATGTTAAATATTCTAAATTGACTATCCACCTGAACCTGACTTGTTAAAGGAAATATTGGAACATATACTAGGAATTGGAAAGGGGTTGTAGATAAATGCAGTTATTTTCTAGAGAAAGCACGGGAGGAAAGCACTGCCTTTGTGTCTCACATCTTCACAGGTGTTCTCCTATCTGTTCCTCAGAACTACACGCAATGTCTAAGACCCACACGTATCCAAGGTGACTGAGTTGAGCAGAAATTAAGCAGCTTAGGATGCACCGTATGTCGGTTCAAGGAAGCTGCATTCTAACGTCTCTCTTTTATGGCTCTAAGCTGGATTCTGTTTTTAAAAATAACGCATAATATCTTTTTATAATACAAAAACAAACACACAAAAAACAACTGGAGTGAAGAAAGCAATTAGAATCACCTTGCAGAACTCTTCCCAAGAACTCGTTTTCATGCTTTTACTATGTATTTAACAGATTAGCAAACTAGTCCTTAGCAGGTAAGAGCTCAATACGCTGGGCCTGTAACTGCTACTCACTCCGTGACGCCTCTGCTCATTGGGCAACCCCTCTTCCAGAGCCTACAATATGCCAAAGGCCTTTCAGGGACTAGATGAAAAGCCAGCCACAGAAAAACTGTGGCTGTTGTACTTACTTGCTTCAGCTCTGGGGTGAGGAGGAGCAGGGTGGAGGCAGACCCCGTCTCTACAGTACCGGGAGAAGATGCTTCCCTGAAATAGGCACTGCTGGGCCAAGAACTAGGAATTCCTTGCAGCATGGAGACCGAGGCTGTAAGTAAAGGGCCAGAAGGGCCCACTGAGGAGACTGAGTGATCCGGGAGTCTCCCGGGGACCTGAGGGCAAAGCACTTGTGGCAAAGTACGAGCAATGAACAAGGTGCCAGGGCAGGGGCATCGTCAGAGCCTGGGAGTGAGTGGGTGGTAGGGACTTGAGGAGGATGTGCAGAGGAATCTCAGGGAGGGTGGATGCAGGGCCTGAGTATAGGCAGGCATCAGGGCTTGTGTGTGTTGGGAGGGGTAGATGGCAGGGTCAAGAAATAGTTGAGAAGCCAGCCCAAGGAAGGGAGAATACATAGATGGCAAAGTGCTTTCTGTGTCTAACTTCAAATCATAGTTACTTCCTCATGGCTTGTATTATGAAGTAAAATGGTTTTGCCTCAAGTTATCCTGGAGCAAAAATGTAGTGACATTTCAGTATAAATACAGTGAATGTCTGAGTCGCAGGGACCAACCTTATGTTGTGATATACCCTAGCAACAAGGCTGTCTGCGCCTGGTCACATACTGATGTGGAGACAGGCAAGCCCTTCATGTGCCGGTCCTGTGTGCAAGGTTGGTTACCATGGCTTCACAGATGCAGTCTCTGAACCTCCACACAATTGTGCCAGGAGCTTAAAGCAGTCTACAAAACAATGTCTATTTTAAGGAAGAAAGCAAAACTGTCTTAAGAGATTCAGAAAATGTATTAGGAAAAATGATTTTATGAACCAGAAATAGACAAGAACTTCTCTTTCTTCGTAGATGTTAATCACAACTTCCTAAAGACAACTTCATAAATGACATCTTTTAAATTAGTTAACGTTCTATTTATTATGAAAACTAGACATTTCTACCATCAATAAGTTTATTAAATACTAAAGGTGACCTCCTAGAAAATGAACTACAATCAACTAAGGAAAAGGAATGCTGAGGGTTAAAAAAACAGTTTTCCTCAGGGAAGAGCACAATAATTAGTAATCCAATACTAGATATTCATCTCTGAAAAGATATATATTCAGGTAACATTATATGATCATATACTCTGGTAAGGTGTTTATGCACTTGGGAACACACATACACATGTAACAACACATGCACACGCACATGCACGCACACACACGCGCGCACACACATGCGCACGCACACACGCACACACACACATGCACACGCACACACACACACATGGGCACGCACACACGCACACACACACGCATGCACACGCACACACACACGCACATGCACGCACACACACATACACGTGTGCACACACGCACACACACACGTGCGCACACACACGCACACACACACGCATGCACACACACGCGCACTCACACACGCATGAAAGTGCAAGCACGTACTTTTCATGCACTGTAAATGTCTGTATAGGAAAGGCTGTGGTATTTTTAGATTTATATTAAGACACTGTGGATGTTTCTAGCATTTTCTCATTTGTAACATGAAGACAGTCGTGTGCCAAGCCTAAGTGGCAACTTGAGCTATGTCACAAAGTAAATCCCACTGAGACAGCAGATGCAGTAAGTACCACACCCAGCTCCCCTCTCCTTTCTAATAGTTCTCTCTCCCACCACCAGCCAAATCGGGCAGGCTCCCAGGTCGTGAGTTACTTTTGCCTTTGTAAGAGATGTGGATGGGATCCTGCACTGCTATATTCCTCTGTTCCTGGCCTCTTTCCCTCCATATAGTGTCAAGGAGATTCATCCACATTTTGAATTTACCCTTTTTTGTTTATTGGTTTTGTATCTTTAAGGCAAGCATATGCCTAGACCTATTTTCTTTGTTTATATTATTTATTATTTTTCTGTTTAACGTCTGTCAATACCTGGAGCATACCACTTTTAATCCCTGATATTGAAAGATTCATCATCAAAATATGAATTGTTTCTTATTAATTAAGATGATAAAATGCAACCAAGGATAACAAATCTGGACATCAGAACTATGACTGTTTATTTAATTAAGGATACATTAAAACAAATACTCAATGCTTGCAGTTTGTTGACTTTTTTGAAAAAATCAAGTTGTAAACTTTTTATTACAAATTAAAAATGAAGTTCTGAAAAATCTTAACTTGATCAGATATGAAACAATTTAAAAACCATTAAAGGTGTATTGAGAAAAACCAGACCTTTTTTTTTAAAAAAAAAAACACATTTGTCATTACCAAAAAGAGACATCTTTAGGTAAAAATAATAAAAACCCCATGCTGCATAGATAATGCAGATAGTTCTAGCGTATCTGGTCAATGGGCAAAAAGCAAGCACTAAAGGTCTTCAGCTCCAATCTTTGTTCATTTCTTATTGCTGGAATTTCATATTCGTTTCTTCTTGTTGGATGACCAAACTGGATGATGGTAGAGATGGTAAGCCGGCATTTACTCAGCCCCGCCCTGCTCAGCCTCGGGAGCGGACGAATTCTCTGCTGGTGGATCGGCTGCTTTTGTCTCTTTGCCATCTTGTGGTTTAGGGTTCTCTGGGCGTCTGCGTCGGTAATTGAAGTTGCGGCGATACCGACGTTGAGGTGGCTGCTGACCTTGGGTCTCGTCTCCTTGATTTTCTTTGTCTTCTTCATTGCCGTCCTCTCTAGGCTGTCTTTGGTGAGGAGGGCCCCTGCGAAATCGTGGTCTGTAACCCCGATACATATTCTGTCTCACTGGTCTACCTTGCTCTCCTGCACCCTGGTTGTCGGCACCCTCCATCACTTCTCCTTGCACAGAAGGGTTGGAATACTGTGGTCGACGCTCATAGGGTCTCCGCAGATAGTAAGGTGGTAACCTTTGCCTGTGATAGGACCAGCGTTGTTGGGCTTGGCCTTCAGGAGTGCTTTCCCATCGCACGTTCTTTTCCCCACTCTCACTATTCTGGTAATTCTGCTGGTAACTACATGGAGGACCCCTACGACGTGGGTAGCGTCTATAATGGTTACGGTCTGCTACGTATTTACTGCCTTGAACTGGAACTCCACCAGGGCCTGTAATATTTGCTGCCTCCGCACCCTTTTCTCCTTCAACAACATCAAACTCCACAGTCTCTCCATCTCCTACACTGCGAAGGTACTTCCTGGGGTTATTCTTCTTTATGGCAGTCTGGTGTACAAATACGTCTTCCTTGGTGTCATTCCTGTTGATGAAACCATATCCGTTCCTTACATTGAACCATTTTACTGTTCCCAAAACCTTCGTTGAGATGACCTTCTTGCCCCCGCCAGCGGGCGCCTCCAATGTGAGGCCGCCCGGGCCGCCACTCCTCATGCCGCTGCCTGTGGAGCCAGGCTTGATATTGGCGGCGCTGAGGGCGACGGCGGGGGCGGCAGCCGGCTGCTGGGTCTCGGCCTCCCTGCTCATGGTTGCGGTGGTGGTGACTGGGGCCTGCGGCGAAGGCTGCGGCTCCTCCCGGGGTGTGATGGTGACTAGGCCTGCGGTGGCGGTGGGGCTCTCAGGGCTCTCTGGGGTCCACTCTCCGCTCCCGCTACCGATCGAACTCTCAATAATTAAAATTAATCAGTCTTCCAGAATATGTTAATAAAAATCCATTCTGTCTTAGTCAAGGTATAAGTAAGATGTCATTGCTATTGCTCAGTAGTGTTTCCTAATATGTGGAATAAACAGACATTTATTGCAAGTAAAACAGTAAAATAGAATAATAAGTCATTAGGTTTTGTGCTAACAATTACTCACAGACAAAAATTAAAATCAAAACGGAAGTCAAAATACATTTAGAATTAAACAATAACAAATACATTAAATTTTTGAGACAACTTTAAATATTACTTCAGTAAATTAGAAGTGAGCTGAAATTGTCATGTCAAATGGATTTAAACAAAGACAAATTAACTAAGAGAGTAGAAGCAGGAAACAAATATAGCAAAAGAATGTAAAATCTAAGATGTCCTACAGCAGATGCTCATACACCTACCTGCTATTTCACTGGAAAGATCAGAGAAAACCCCTGCAGCTCCTCTAAGAGAAAGCAATAGTCAATGGTCAGTAAACAAAGCAAGATGGTGAAGGAGGAGACACTACATATAAACTTCTGTCAGACTTTGTATTGTTTGAGACAAGGTCTCTCTCTCTCTGGCTCTGACTGTCCTGGAACTTGCTTTGTAGACCACGTTGGCCGTGCACTCCTAGAGATCTGCCTGTCTCTGTCCTGAGTGCTAGGATTAAAGATGTGTCCCACCATGCCCAAGTGTATGTATTCTTACGGTGGGAACTCGAGACAAGGATATTTTATGTTAAAAGAACAAGAATTTAATTATATTTTCTAATTCACAATAACAAAATAAAATTCATTTTCTCTGCTTGAATGAACTTTAGACAAAATGGAGAAAATAAACCAGAAAAATGTAAACAAAGATAAAAATCCACTCTTTTGCAACACTAAAGTCATGTCCTACAATGTAAAACATTTGTGTCGACTCTAAAATAAACCTAAGCATAAAAAGGCATATCCAATCTCAGTTGTGGTCCTCTGGACTGAGAAAACAACATTAAAATCATGTCCTAAAATGCAAAGTGGTGGTCGTTACTCGAAAATAAATCTAACATAAAAATGCACGTCCATTCTCAGGCACAGTGTTCTGGAACGAGGAAAACGCACCTCATGTGGCCTCATGTCAGCCTTGGCACCTCTTTGCCCTTGAGGGTGTGATCAGCTTAGCGAGCAGAAAAGCCAACTGCATTAGTTAGTTTTCTCATTAAAACAATCGAATACCTGACAAGAAGCAGCTTAAGGAAGAAGGGGTTGTTTTGGCTTACACATTAAGCTGATACACGGCCCTGGTGTCAGGGAGAATCTGGCAGCAGGAGCAGGAGACAGCACCACATCCACGGGCGGGAAGCAGAGAGCACTGAGTGCTGCTGCTCACGACACTTCCTCCTTTCACTCAATCTGGGACCCCAGCCCGCTGGTTGGTGCTGCGCACTTTTAGGGTGAATTTTGTACCCTTAACTAAATATCTTTAAGAAACACTCTCATAGATACATTCAAAGGTGTGGTTCCATGGTAATTCTAAATCTTGAGCTGGTGATCAAGATTAGCCATTATATCAACACAGTGAAAGACCATGGCTATAATGAAACAGACAAGTCCATTGTTAGAGGTAACAGCACAGCATAACCAGAAAAATTGATGTAAACTTGATATAATGATACACACTTCTAAATATCACCAATATAAAGTATGAAATGTACACCAAAATGTAATCTCAATATGTTCTGTGGTATGAACAAAAATGTCTTCTGAAAATCAATTTGTCAAGGGATGAGCAAATTGTTATTGAGCATAGTGACAGAGTTTCCTTTAGATGAATATAAGATTATATTGTAATATAATAGAGTCAACTAAATGAAGAGAAAAATATATGGTGGATAAAGTGAACTCATTTCAATAAAAATTACAACAAGATTTTTACAGTATATGACTAATTATAGAACTCTGTAAAAAAAAAATCACCCCCCTCCCCCCCAAAGCCAGGGCTATGAACAGCAAGGACTAAGTGAAAATCACTCAGAAGCTAAGATCCACTTAGGCAAGAAAGCTCTCTGTTCACATCCATGGAAACAACACAAGGGGACATCCTGACTCTTCCTCTCCCCTGCAAACAATGCGGTGTGTGGTCTGTGTGCTGTGAATAGAAAAGGGAACTAAGTGTTAGTGTCTGGATCACAGCAAATGCCCCGGGTCGTGAGCGAAGACCCAGGTACCGCCGCGAAGCTCATAAGCAACAAGCACGATATAAAATCAGAGCAAGAGAGGACTAGGAGTCGGGCAGGGGAGCTGTCTCAAAAGGAATAATAGTGTCGCACAAAGAATATGACTTTAGGAAATAGAATTCTGAAAGCAAAAGAGATCATTGCCCATGGAGGAAGATTTTAATGAACTGAAGTACCCTAAGTGTAGAGTTCTTTTAATCTACTCTGCAAGGGAAAAGCAAAATAGTGGCTAAGCAAGTATTTCTGTCGCCCGCATGACTGGGAAAGTTCGATGGAAAGAATACTGAGTAAATGTCCTAGAGGAGAGAGCCGCAGCTGTGCCAAAGATGCTACCAGGGTGACTGACCGGTTAGGACGTTCTGATGGTGAAAAGTTGGGATGATGCAAATCGACAGCCAAATTATCTTGGGTTATTTTTATTCTCCTTAATATCCTCTCCTTGTCCCTCTGTGTCTGCTACCATTAAATTAAATCCTTTGGGATGCATCAACTTAACAGATTATTAGCTTCGAACAACCTGAACGCTAAAACTGCCATCAGTTGACTCCTGAAACCCGTGACACAGATTTATCTGGCACTCACTTGATGTTTCAACCAGCGAATTTTCAAAGTGCCTTGATTTATGATTTCCTTTTATTATGTAGCTATAAAAACTTCATAAAACCTTTTACACATTGGAATATCTTATTTAAGGCAACCCGAATCCATGTTCCTGGGCCATGGCCACTCATTTTTAGTTCCAGAATAAATCATCTCTTCCTTCGTCTAAGGTGAGAGCCGTGTTGTACAGACAGTATGAAAAACTGCAAGTCAAGGTGAAAAAAGATCTCGAGAGCCACACAGAGCACCGTAAAAGTCAGAGCACGTGCGTTTGTCAAGTTCTTGCAGTAGACACGTGGGTAAGGAGCGCGTACCCTGGTGAACATCTTTTCAGCGGGGCAGTAGAAGCTGAGTGTGAGCTCAGAAGACGCTGAAGGACCGCTTCTTACCGCTTCACTCCTGCGGTTTCCGTCTGAAACCTACACCCACGCACTAGGATGCTCCCAGCATTGCCGCTACCATAAAGTCTTAAGGCTTACGGTGATTAACAACAACTGAAAACCCAGCCATGTATTGATTTTACCGTACGATGCGGCTTCCAACAGAAATGCATAAGCTCTGTTCAAAATCGGCACTGGGTAGGAAGGCACGAGTGATGTTTTCATACTTCATCTGACAGCTCAAAGGAGGAAAATAGCAAAGGATGTTGTGCCATAGTATGAGCCAGAGAGGGAGGGAAGATACGTAGAAGGAAGTTAGATGGAATGGGTTCCCTGTGATACCTCTGCTCAAGGAATTTTCTGCAATGAATCCGAGCATGGGAGAGCCTGGTATTCGATGTCATAATTATGTCTAAATTTTTTGGTTATTTATGTAATTCACAGAACAGTACATTCTCTAGTTAATTGGTCATTATTTCGTTTCACAGTATGTGTGTGGTGTCCAATTGTAAATGAAATTTGATAACCTAGACCTTTAATATCATTATTGGCAATAAGAAGTTCAGAAAAATGCAAGCACCAGGAAACCATGCGCCCAGTAGCATTTGTACTCGGCTGAAACCACTAGAATTGCAGGCAATGAAATGACCAATTTGTTGCCCTTTGGTAGACTTTACATTGGATACTCATTTAAGTCTCCTTACTGGGCAAGGCCAGCTTCTCAAGAGGCACTAACTGAAGGACAAAGTCCCACTTGCGCCTGTGGCAACCTGTGCTCCAGCTGAGCTGGCCAGGTGAGTCTGTGAGGACCAGTAGCAATTCCAGGTGTCACCCCGCCAGCTGGAACCTGCTCTGGAGTCTTTTAGGAAGGTGTGGTTTTACCCAAATAACATTATTCTAAACTAGAAGAGTAGGAAGTGGCTCTCCAGTGAGGACACAAATGTCCATTGAATTGTAGACGCTGGACATTAGGGGCTGTCACTTGATACTCTTTAAAGTAGCATTGGTTTTGAGTTCTTAAAATTCACAGTTTCTCAAAATTTTTCACCCAATTTCTCTTACATGTTGCCTTTGCCTGAGGCCAGAACTTCTTATCTCATTTTTATAGGAAACAATTCCATGGATAGCCCAGCTTCTTTCACAGCCCATATACTGCTTATTCTGCTCTTTGTCTTTCTCTCAAAGTCTCATAGCTTTTAGGTGTTTTTTTAAACCTGGCTATTTCTGACTTAATGTTTACTTTCATATACCTCACGTCCCTATTGTATTTGGCTAAATCTGACTCAGAATAAAGCCTGTTGTACGAGGATAAAGAAAATTAGAAGAAATCATTAGGAAAAAGAGACCCTTAGCAAAAAAGGAACCATTAGAAGAAAAGGAACAACATCTATTGCCAGAAATAAGTGTTATAATAGCCCCAGTGTGTATGTGCAGAACATGCAATGTTTCAACAGAGAAATGCAGCTCCTAAAACCATCTAAATGCAACCACAGAACTGAAGAGTTCCATTTCTAAATGTAAGAGTGGGTTTCATGGTTCTGAGAGGGGGTCCCTCTCACAAAGATGCTATGAAATATGAGCTGTTGAAGTCACCGCCATCCCCAGCTGAACCCTTTCAACCACACCATCACTGTTTCATTCAACAGAGAT